GTATCCACTGTTAGCGTGACACACCCGCTTTAAGGACACTGACTGCTATTGAATCTATAACAGTGAAAAAAGTGTTTGTTGTTTTTTAAATACAAGCTGTGTGTCACCAGATCTAAGTGGTGGCACTGGTCACCGTATCCACTGTTAGCGTAACACACCCGCTTTAAGGACACTGACTGCTATTCAATCTATAACAGTGAAAAGTGTTTTTTGTTTTTAAATACAAGCTTTGTGTCACCAGATCTAAGTGGTGGCACTGGTCACCGTATCCACTGTTAGCGTAACACACCCGCTTTAAGGACACTGACTGCTATTCAATCTATAACAGTGAAAAAAGTGTTTTTTGTTTTTAAATACAAGCTTGTGTCACCAGATCTAAGTGGTGGCAATGGTCACCGTATCCACTGTTAGCGTAACACACCCGCTTTAAGGACACTGTCTGCTATTCAATCTATAACAGTGAAAAAAGTTTTTTTGTTTTTAAATACAAGCTTTGTGTCACCAGATCTAAGTGGTGGCACTGGTCACCGTATCCACTGTTAGCGTAACACACCCGCTTTAAGGACACTGACTGCTATTCAATCTATAACAGTGAAAAAAGTGTTTTGTTTTTTTAAATGCAAGCTTTGTGTCACCAGATCTAAGTGGTGGCACTGGTCACCGTATCCACTGTTAGCGTAACACACCCGCTTTAAGGACACTGACTGCTATTCAATCTATAACAGTGAAAAAAGTTTTTTTTTTTTAAATCCAAGCTTTGTGTCACCAGATCTAAGTGGTGGCAATGGTCACCGTATCCACTGTTAGCGTAACACACCCGCTTTAAGGACACTGACTGCTATTCAATCTATAACAGTGAAAAAAGTGTTTTTGTTTTTAAATACAAGCTTTGTGTCACCAGATCTAAGTGGTGGCACTGGTCACCGTATCCACTGTTAGCGTAACACACCCGCTTTAAGGACACTGACTGCTATTCAATCTATAACAGTGAAAACAGTGTTTTTTGTTTTTAAATCCAAGCTTTGTGTCACCAGATCTAAGTGGTGTCACTGACTGGGGAAATGGGCACAGTATGCACTGTGAGCCTGACACAGAAGCTGGCAGCAGTGGCAGACAACTGACTGCTATTCAATCTATAACAGTGAAAAAAGTTTTTTGTTTTTAAATCCAAGCTATTGTGACACCAGATGTAAGTGGTGGCACTGACTGGGGAAATGGGCACAGTATGCACTGTGAGCCTGACCCAGAAGCTGGCAGCAGTGGCAGACAACTAAGTGCAATTACATTACATAGAATTTTTTTATTTAAAAAAAGCATACCCTTATCCCTAACCTAGCTATGCTTTTCCCTATCTTATGAACATCAGCTACACTTTCCCTCCTCTTACTAAGCATGCAGCTTGAGAATTAATCTAAAATGGATGCCTTCCAGGAGGTGGGAGGGTCTGCTAGGGAGGATGTGCTGCTAATTGGCTGGAATGTGTCTGCTGACTGTGAGGTACAGGGTCAAAGTTTACTCACTGATGACGAATAGGGGGCGGGTCGAACCGCGCATATGTTCGCCCGCCGTGGCGAACGCGAACATGCTATTTTCGCCAGGAACCGTTCGCTGGCGATCCGTTCGGTACATCACTATGATAAATCTGCAAATAGAGCAATGCGTTAGTGGGGGTCCGGAAGTGTGCAATATTTTCTTGCTGCTGCCAGTAGTCCTTCTTATCTTATCAAATTAAGACTGTGTTAAAGGGAATCCAGAGGTGCAGTACCCCACAAACACCTCAGCGATTACCAATAAATGGGAACTTGACAAAGACCTCTTTGAAGGTCGAAATGTTGCTGCTTTCCTTGCTCCATTAAAATCTGCCTGCGGCTTTAACACTTGAGTGCCTGGATATTTCTTTTTTGGCTTTACTTGTTGGGATTGCTGGTCCTGTTCCGGAGCACCGGTGGCTGCTTGGATTGAGTGCGGTTCTTACAACAATCTTTGCAACCATTCGAACCAAAGACCAATCAAACCTTAAAAGCCGCTATATACTTAGCTATTTTACGGGTTCCTTAGACCCAGGGAGTTCACTACCATCAACACTTCTGAATTAAGGTCATGCCTCAAGATCTCGCATATATCAGCAAACAAGAAGACCACTATGTACTCTCTCTGCAACATACCAAGATCAGTCAACCAGGTCAAACAGTAAAAGTTCCTTATTACCCCACATTTAACTAATGGTGTCCAGTAAAGACACTAAATAGATATCTACATAACTTTCAATCTCCTAAAAATCAACCTTTACTTACCATACAGGGGGCCATTCTCACTGCAAGTAAATGCATACTTTACATTAGAATCCTATTAATGAGACTAGGTCTTAACCCATTACACTATTCTGGACACTCCTTCAGGATATGTGCGACCTTGGCAGCCTCCCACAGGAACATCCCTGTAACGGCACCCCCAAGCAACCAGGCTCCTCCAATGCACAGTGGCGAGATTGGTCCTGTCACATCTCTCCCCTTTTCCAAACAGACCTCCTGCCGGTCAGTTCCCTGGTTAGTCCAGCAGCTCACCCACAACACAGCAACAGCAGTACAGCCCACCCACAATAAATGGTTACTACACCTGAGTAAGGAAGGAACTTGTCCATGTCCAGGTGCCTCACCATGGCTGTGTGGGGGACTGGTAGGCTGCCTTGGTCGGTTGCTGAGTGATCAGAGACCAGCGGTACTCTGCCCTGGTACCAGCATTACCATGGAAGTAGCCTGGTTGGAACCTGTTTGCTGGAGGGGGGGACCGACTGTCTCCCCTTTGGATACACAGCTCTGCTGCTGGAGGGGGAGACAGACCACCATGCTGCTGTGGGGTGAGACCGACTGCCTCCCCTTTGGCTAAACAGCCTTGTTGCTGGGGGACAGGACCGACTGTCTCTACCCCCTGTAACTCAGCCTGCCACTGGGGAAAGGAGACTGGGCTCTCTATTCCCTGCTGTATCTGCTGCTGGGAGGGAGGACAAGGCTCTCCTCTCCCAATAAAACACTCTGCTGCTGGGGAACAGGACCGACTGTCTCTGCCACCTGTAACTCAGCCTGCCACTGGGGAAAGGAGACTGGGCTCTCTGTTCCCTGCAAATCACACTGTTGCTAGGGAATGGAGACTGGGCTCCCTATTCCCTGCATATCACACTGCCGCTGGGGAATGGAAACTGGGCTCCCAATTCCCTGCAGATTACACTGCCGCTGGGGACTGGAGATTGGGCTCCCTATTCCCTGCAGATCACAACGCCACTGGGGATCTGAGCCAACCGCCCAGCATCCCTGTAGCTCACCCTGCCGCTGGGGAGGGAGGATGCTGCTCTCCTCTCCCTGCAAGGTACACTGCCGCTGGGGAGGGGAGACAATGCTCTCCACTCCCTGCACGTCACACTGCCACTGGGGAAAGGAGACACTGCTCTCTATTCCCTGCAATTCACACTGCCGCTGGGGATCTGGGCCACCCGCCCAGCATCCCTGTAGGGCCGGTGGGAAGACCTCAGTCCCATCTCCGCCTTGGGTTCCTCCCAGTAAATCTCCACAATATCGTCCCAGTTAAAGGATTCTGGATCTGGGTCTGTCACTCTGCTTTCCTGTTGTGCCTTCTCAATGGAGCGGAACAGATGATGGTAGTCCTGCTCCAGCTCCATCTCTCGGGTCACTATGTGGGCCAGGTCTTGCTCCACTTCGTGAGGGTCATCCGAGTCGTACATACTCTCCCTCCACTCAAAGATGTCACGGAACCGGGTCTGTGCAGAGCTCCCAAAATCAGGCTCTGAAAAAGCCTCCCATAATAAACCAGGGCCATCAAACTTCTCTCCCTCTGGCATGTCATGCTTGGCCGTCTAGGGGGTGTACTGAACTGTACACCACCAGAGCACCTGGTAGGCATCCTCCAGCCACAGCTCCTGCCATACCCTGTGCTCCAGTTCCTTTACCCATTCTTCCAGGGGCTGCTCTCCCAGGAGGGGCATCCACAGTGCTACTCGTGTCTGCTGTCGCTGCTCTTCACTGGGGAGTCCATCACCCCGCTGGTGCTATATGCCATTCAGTGCCTAGTACCAGATGCTTTTACGAACTGCATCCCGATCATCCATGACACCCTCGTCGTATAACACTGCTGGTTCCATTCTGCTGCTGTCAGGGTCGCTGTACTCAGACATGCGTTGCCCTCAATTTGTAAATCCAGCAAATGGTGTTTCCTTGTAGCTGTCCTCTGGGCTGTGAGAACCATCCCGTCGCTTGCTACCAATTGTAACGGCACCCCCAGGGATAAAAGGGTGTTAAAAGCCTTTTAGTAGATATTCCCCTTCCAGATATACAGGCAGCTACCAAAGACACAAATCCGCCGAACAGGAAACCATATGAATGCCGTAAACAGCCGAATAGGAAAAAACATATGAATAGGTTTACACTCCTAGCAGTCAAACTGGAACAGCATACAATAAATCCCCCCAAGAACGAGACAAGGCTCCGTCTTGAGGGTCAAGCAGGAACAGACTGAGCTGTGTCTTTATTGAAATTATATACACATTTTACAGACAAAGTCCCACCCACAGGGTTTTGTGGAACATCCAATCAAAACATACAACACAGATAAACACTCCCACAATGGCATCACAATCCCTCCTCTCTATCGTGGAGATAATTGGGAAGTAATCCAATTATCTCCAAGGACAGAGGCAAAACTCTGTTAAGCACATGGCATTAAAAAGACAGTAAAATATAATAAAATACACAAGGTTACATTTATTACATAAAATACAGACATGCAACATATCCCCAGATAGCTTAGGTCTGAGCGCACATTATTACTGAATGGCGCTCAGACAACACACTGTTATACAGTTCAATTGCCATGGAGCCAAAGTCTTTTATTACACAAATAGGCTCCATGGCATAGCTATCTGGGTTAAATGAGTTAATTCAGTAAATCTGTGAATGAACCTGCCGCGTGTGAACTGCAGACTGCTGCCATCCAGTGTTCAGTATGCGTAGCCGTGGCCACCCGGTATAGTCAATTAAGCTGCAGTTAACCTCAGCTACTGGGCCGTCAATTGGCGGCACTCGCCGACTTCTGGACGCCCAATTATGGCGCCTGTCAGCTAACCGCGGCTCCTGGGAGGCCAATAGATGGCTGTTTGTTCGGTAGATAGAATATACCGAACGCCCCGGCAGAAATACATGAATAGACCTTTCTGCGTAGGAAAATAACGTATAAATAATGCCGGTCCATAGTCAAAAGGCAGCATGCAGGCAACCAGGCTCCTCCAATGCACAGTGGTGAGATTGGTCTCGTCACAATCCCTACCCATTTTATAAAGTAATTGGGGTGCTGGAAATCTACAGCCTACTGTAGATACATTCCTCAACTAGAGAAGGAAATTAGACAAGCATTCCAACATTTGGCATTTTGATATTCTATGTTGTAGTAATGTGATTGTTGATTGAATAAAGTATTTTGGCAAACATCCTTTTTGCCCACTTTATTTACAGGTCTACTGATACATCAGTTTCAGCACACCACAACCAAATGTTTTATACCTCTACATGTATCATAAGGTATCAAGTACAAGATATGGCTTTATTGCCCTGAGCACAAATGTAAAAGCAGAGCCTTGAGTTGTGAGAGGGGCTGGTGCTGATATAAGAACTCACCTATCGGCACTAGACTCCTCCTCAGTATCACTCAGTTTTGTGTCCCTCCCACCACTCCACCCTTTACTTATTTTATTCTAATTACCTTCCTTGGTGGGCCCAATTTATTTACAGGTCTACCGATACATCGATTTTGGCACACCATGACCAAATGTTGTCTCTACATGTATCATCAGGTATCAAGTACAAGATACGGCTTTATTGCTTTTACGGCTGAGCACAAATAAATTATGTGTGTGTATATATATATATATATATATAAAACACATTTATAAAAAAACAAATAAAAATGCTAGCTTTATCCAGCATTTGTGACTAAGTGGCTACTTCAAAAGACTAGAAATACCCCATTTGGAGTACCCTGGGTTATCTACATTTGAAAATGGTATGGCATGATGGGGTTATTTCACATTCCTGGACTACCATATGGCCTCAAAAGACAACACGGACCCAGCAAACCAACCTGGCAAACTTAATTGGACAAGCCCTATATTGACCCTGAAACTTTTCAAAACACTATAAAACCTATACATGGGGGTATTGCTATACTTGGGAGGCTTTGCTGAACACAAACACAAATATGTTTAAAACAGCAAAACTTATGATGACGATGAAATTAGCAGTGAAAGAGCATTCTTTTGTGAAAAAAAAAAAATGCAGAAAAATATGAACGCTAACTTTGGCAAGCGTTTGTGGCTACTACAAAAGACTGGACATACCCTATTTGAATACCATGGGTTGTCTACTTTTACAAATGGTATGCTGTGATGGGGTTAATTTTCATTTATGCTGCTATACGATCTCAAAGGCAACATAGGCCCAGCAAACCAATCTGGCAAATTTTAATGTGCAAACATGGAAAAGGGGAAAGCCCTATATTTGATCCCTGTAAGTTTGCAAAAACCCATAAAATATGTACATTGGGGGCACTGTTGTACTCAGGAGTTGTTGCCAAACACATACTGGAATGTTCTTTGTCCGTAATACATAACAGGAACTGAGAATCCATGCCTAAAGTACAATGTGTGAGAAAAATAACACAAAAAAGGACTACCCAAATGTTTGACAAAGACTGGTGATTAGTGCATTTGAAATACCCTTGGGTGTCTATGTTTCAAAAATATATGGTTTGATGGGAGTAAATTACATTGGCTGGCTTAAAAAAATGTCCAAAATAGGACACGGGTGCATGATGACCAGCTGTCAAAATTCTTCGTTGGAAAACTGGAATGTTCATCCTCCAAATAAGGTATTTTAGCCCCAGAGAACCCGACACACCTGTACATGGGTGGTATTACTGTACTCAGGAAATGTTGCTGAACACATATTGGGGTGTTATTTGGCATTTTTACATTGGTTATTTCTAAACTCAGGACAACATTTAGAAACTATTTAGCTCAGGTGTTTTTTGGCAATGGAGATGCGTAACAGATTTTCGGGGTCACAATTAGAAAAAAGTGTGTGTTCATTTTATCATCATATTTTATAAAAAAAATTATAGTAAATTATTTGATATGATTAAAATAATAGTATCTTTAGAACGACCATTTAATGGCGAGAAAAATGGTATATAATAGGTGTGGGTACAGTAAATGAGTAAGAGGAAAATTACAGCTAAACACAAACACAGGAGAAATGTAAAAACAGCCCTGGTCCGTAACAGTAAGAAAATTGAAAAATGGTCTGGTCACTAGGGGGTTAATAAAATAAAATAAAATAACAAATGTGGTAGCGCACACAATGGTTCTTGTTACCTTCTGGTATACAATATAAATGCTACCCATATGACACAAGACTGAAAAACCATCACTGTGCAATATATCGAGTGATACTATGAAATAGCATAGTTAATTGGAAAACTCACGATCTTTAGAGACTAGTATAAGTCTGCTCTGAACTATGCAGTCATTACATCAACTTTTAAATCTTATTGAATAGCTTGGTTCAAATGCAGGTCCACTGGAGAATGCAAGATTTCACAACAAATAACATAAGTTTAAGATAAAATGTCAGTAGTAAACAACACAGATAGAAATGATATGATCCACAACAAATATGGTGACCCAAAATCATTTATAGATTACATCTACTGATTTGAACAGTCAGTGAAATGAAGGATATGTTTTAATTTTTACCTTTTATAAAAAATTGTATACGTCTCTCTTTCACAAATTCGCAAATCCCTCTTGTGCATGCATGCATGTCAAGCATGAAGTCTTGTGCATTGATATATATATATATATATATATAAATATATATGACCTTGACTCCCTCCATCCATTATTAAACATAGGTATCAAAGTATCCGTAGAACTATGATGAACAATCAGCCAGAGGACGTTGCAAATCCTATAGACAGAGCAGCAGTGGGAGATGATGTTGATTACCACCATTCTAATGCAGGTTTGTGAAATACATCAATTTCTTTCATTTCCAAAACTTATTTGATCATAATAACTTTTGTCATACTTAAATGCCTCATTTATCTGTATTATGTTTATTCTGTAGACTGTCCTAATGATTTTGTTATTTCCCTCTTGCTGCACGTTTATCTAGTAACAGTGTACTGTGTAGAGCAGGGGTAGGCAACCTTTTGGTAGTGGTGTGCCGAAGTAAACCTTTGACGTCCCTTGGTGTGCCAGCAATATTGTCAGAGGAATGCATGGTTAAGAAAGTTAAATGTTTTATTAATGATAACAACAAATAAAGAAGGTCAGTTTTAAGACAACTAATTGTATTGATTTATCTTTTTCTTTTTAATGTAATTTCTAATTACATTTAAAGTTGTTGAGAATATTTTAAAAACTTAATAACAAAGAACATACCAGTGCACTACCTGGTTTTAGGCTCAGCACAGGCTGCTCAAGGCGGAAGATCGGTTGCCTCTCCCTTCCCTGGTGCTCACCAGGCTGCAATATACTCAAAGCCCCCTCCAGGACTGTGTCAGCCACAATCACTGCTTGTCGCCAGTAGGAGGGTAAACCCAAGTTAGGGCTACTGCAATATCAATTTAGAATGTGGCAGTTCCCAGCAGGGTCCCCAAAAACAACAAGCATATTCATTTCTATGTATCTAAGTGGTTATGTTGCCTGGAGTCTGTGGGTACCAGGATCCTTGTCACTACTAAATGGTTTTCTCACCATTTAGCAAAGCAGGTTGGTCCCCAGGAACCCAGCCTCCAATGATGATGCAGAGGACACCGAACTATGCTTCCATCTCATGCCATGCCAGAGATTAGGACAGTGATTGTTTGAGAGTGCTTAGTTTACACGCTCAGCCGCTCACTGACGCTAACTATGTTATGGTGTGAACCTGCATAGAAATTTCCAGCATTCAAGTTTATCACAGGTCTCAAACTATGTACGGAGTGTATTTAATGTATCCAGTGGTGTATTTTGGATTTGTTCTGCCCTAGGCATGAGGAACTCTGGAACCCCATAATTTAAATTTGCCCCACACCTTCCTGCCAAGGTGACACCTCTTCCTGTTAAAGACTAACATGCATTTTAACTGACAGACACACACTGACACACCCACTCACGGACAAGCACACACTCTCAGATACACTAACATACACACACACACTCACTGATTTGACACATTTTGACACACACACACACACTGAGAGACGCGCACACGCACTGACAGGCATGCGCATGCACTGACACACAAGCA